CTCAGCGTTTGGTCAGGTATGTGTAAACGTTTTTAACTGCTCTTAACTGCTGATTGAATATTCCATTGTTATTCTATGTTACTCACAGATAAATTACCTTTCTAATGATGAAAGAATTTTTAAAATCAGCCCACTAGTTTTTGAGTATATTCCGATACATACAATAATACAAATCTTTCCTTTTTATAATATTAGTGTAGATGTTTTACAATTAAATTTAATTTTTATTAGCTGCTGGTCGCGACTTGGTCTGAAATTTAAAAAATAATGAAAAAACAGGGCCTATGTTACTGATAACATAGATTTTTTATGGTGAAAGAATTGAAAGTGATCCAGTAATTTTCGATTTATTTCAATACATTTACAAAATACAAATCTTTATGATATTAGTATGAGAAAGTAGGTGGCTCAGTGGTTTAAGCTCTTGACTTGTAATCTACATGTCTTGGGTTCGAATCTCGCCATGTACCATGATTTTAGATTTTTCGAATTTTCATATGTTCTTACGGTGAAGCAAAACATCGTAATGTCTGCACATATCGGCGAAGAAATTCAAAGACATTTTGTGAAGTCAACTAACCTACACTGGGCCAGCGTGGTTGACTATGGCTGAACGGATTTCGATGAAATTTGGTATGGATGTAGAGGATAGTGTGGAAGAGCACATAGGCTACTCGCTTTTGTTTTTTTTTTTAATTCCGCGCGGACGGAGTTGCCTGCGAAAGCTAGTCTTACTTCTTACTAAATGTGAAAGTTTAGATGGATGGATGGATGTTTGTTAGAGTTTGTAGCCTAAACGGCTGAACGGATCTCCATGAAATTTGGCACAGGTTTAGAGCATAGTCTGGAAGAACACATAGGCTACTTTTTATCCCGGGAATACTTACGGTTCCCGTGGGATTTATTAATTTAGTTTTTTAATGTTTACTCTCTCACATGGGATTAGGTTCATTCCCGAGAAATGTCCGGTTCCCGAGAGATATGCAGCTTTTTGTTATTTATATAGTTCGTATGTTTTCTAATACCACGCGGAAGAAGTCGCGCGCAACAGCTAGTTTTTTATAAATGAAATGTGAATGGGGCATAAATTAGGTTTTATCACCATCCAGGTGGCTCGTCGTTCATTATTCTTGTCGTTGATTGGCATCTGCTTGAGTTCTGTGGATGTGTCGTGGTGTGACGTGCGGCTGCCGGGCGTGTTGCAGCGCCTCGCAGCCATGTACCTGATAGTGGGAGCCCTAGAGTGCGCCTTCATGAGGACCAGCCAAAATATGACACCAGGTAAGACGGGGACTGGATAAGTTGCAATGAAAATATCACTGTTCCTTGATTTTTTTTTGTGACTGAGTTGTCACTGTTTGCCTTGAAGAGGCATTTACAGATTCACCGGGCTTGAGGTAAACCTCTTTTATGAGTAACTAGGCTCGAGGGCTCCCTCAGGAGCCTCGGCTCGGGCTGTTACTTCGTTATTATTACCGGATTGGGAGGCCACCGCTGTTCCTTGAATTAGCTTATTCTTGTTTGTCTTATGTTAATTGTTTTAATTTTTAAGCCAAGATGTAAATCTTCCTGGATTTCTTTTTCCTTGTATCTTCCCCTGTATAACTATAATTTATATTTTTTTTCTCTCATTATATGGCCAAGGTACTCCAACTTTTTTTATTGTTTTTAATATTTCATGCTCTTCCCCCATTCGTGGCAACTTTTCATTGCGTACTTTATCCTTTCAGAATAATAATTGTAAATTATTTTAATTTATTGTTGTGTTAAATGTAAAGTATGCTACTGATAGATTGTTAACTTCGTTAGTTTATGAATTGGCTAGATAAAATTAATTTGAGAGTTTTTTAATTTTGTGTTATAGGTCGTTCATTGTTCAGAGATATTACCGCTGGATGGCAACAATGGCTCGCTACAACACTCCTTGTTGCCATACAGGTTGGTTACTTTTATGTATTTTATAACTTAAGTTACCTTACTTATTTTTATACTTGTCTTAACTATTAAAGTAGGTAAAGATTAAGCGGATACTGTAAAATTATATTTTCTAATGTAAGGGGGTAAATGTATGGGAAATATTATTTTTATGCTATCCCTCTTGAATAAAATTTCTGTGGTCACTTAACTGGAGCACATTGGGCAAAAATCTCAACTTATATAGACATTTTTATCAGATTAAATTGTTTAAACTTGTATGAGACATTATTATAGCTTCTAGCTTTCGCCCGCGACTCCGTTAGCATGGAATTAAAAAAAATAAAGTAGCTTGTGTTCTTCCAGACTTTTCTCTATGTAATGTCAAATTTCTTTGAGATCCGTTAAGCCGTTTAGGCTACAAACATCCATCCAAATCTTTACATTTAAACAGTACTCAGATTAATACGGATAGTACTCACTCGACCACCGAAAAAATAGACATGAGCATTATTTTTATAAGAATAAGTTATATTCATTTGAAGTTTAAAATGTCCTTATAAGTGGTTATTTTAGCCCACTGTGCTCTAAGCAAGTATCAAATCCAGCGTTTTTCGATAGATTTGTATAACATTGACGGTGTCTGCGCCGGGCTGCCCGCGCGGGTACTCCGGCCCGGGCGGCCTGCACCGCACCGCGTTAGGGGATTTCACTTTACAGAACTGTACTGGAGGTATCGCTGGATATATTGACAGGTAAAACATCCCGTACGAAATATTTCTTGACCGATTTACACGTTTTCAGTACAGTAAGACAGTTGCAACTACCAGTCTAATGCATCGAATCAACCGGGTGGGTTAGCGTTGAACTGTCATTTGATTGTCCAGTTGAGCGCTACTGTCTAACTGTACTGGCTTAGTGTGATCAAAGCTTAAATTCTGTTTAAAGATGTCTTTCCAATAGATTGTGTATTTATTGCACCAAAAATTATTGTTACATTTTAAAGACACGATTTTACTGTCCTTGAATAATGTTTGACTCAACTTTGATTGTTTTTTATGGAAAGAGTCTGAAATTTTTTCAATATAAATCCATAGACAAGAATTTTCATCTAGAAATGCGTTAATAATTTACAATTTCATTTGAATATCTATACTAATATTATAAAAAGAAAAATAAAACTTAAAAACTACTGGGCCTATTCCAAAAATTCTTTTACGTAAGTCATATAGGCTATGTTTTTATTATTTTTTAATTTACGCAAAGTCGCGAGCAACAGCTAGTATGGTTATATGTATTACTACCTTTCGCCCGCGACTCCGTCCGCGTGGAATTAAAAAAAAACAAAAGTGACTAGCCTATGTCTTCTTCCAGAGTATCCTCTACATCTATACCAAATTTCATCGAAATCCATTCAGCCGTTTAGGCTACAAACTAACAAACATCCATCTATCCATCCATCCATCCATCTAAACTTTCGCATTTATAATATTAGTATGATCTACAGGTTGATTCTCGGTACATCACATTTGTATAAGGGGGGTAGATACCGCGATGTGTACCATACCAAGTTGCCGTACGACCCTGAGGGTGTGCTGGGCGTGTTGTCGGGGGTGTTGGTGGTGCAAGCCGGCGCGCACGCTACTCGCATCATGCTGGCGTATAACCACGCTAGGTAAGATACCTAAGATCTAGGCTAAGTCTAGCAACAGTCTTGTTCGATGTTTAATCTATTTGATATTTTACGATTCTCTTAAGTGAAAGCCTTTCTTACAGATGTTTGTCGTTGCTTTCCCATTGGACCGATTGTCCAAGTATTCGATCGGTCCAACGGGAAACTTCCTTAGTAATTACAACTGTTCCACTAGTATTAGTTGCCTAATTTCACACGTAGATTTGTCCCCTTATTTAGAATGATTTCAACTAAGGCTCTGAAGGACGTTGGTTAAAGTTGAGGGGCGGGGGGGAGTCAAAACAAACAAATATTTTTAAAGTTGTTTGATCTATGTGACTTGGTTTTTTTTTATGGTTGAGGGGAGGCCCCTTTAACGCCCTCCGCAAGCCAACGCCCATGTGTTTAGTGTCCACTTAACGTTTATGAGTGCTATATTGATGTAATTGTTTCCAGAGCTCGGATAATGCGCTGGGTGTTCTGGTCTATCGTCTTCGGTATATCCGGTGGGGGGTTGTGCATGTTCTCGAAGGAGGGGGGGCCCATACCGGTCAACAAGCCGCTCTGGTCGGTGTCATACTGCTTGGTGACATCGTCTATGGCATTCTTTATACAGGCTGTTTTATACTTCCTTGTGGATTTGAAGAATAAATGGGGAGGAAGGCCGTTGTATTATGCAGGTGAGTATGACTGACTAGTTGTCGACCCCGGGTCCGTGTAAAATTAAAAGAAAACTAAATAAGTGTGACTATGACGAATTTTATGGAGATCTGTTCAGTAGTTTAGGCGACAAATTTTAACAAACATCCATCTAAACATTCGCATCTTACTATCTTACTAATATTATAAAAGTACAAAAATACATCAATGGATGGATGGATGTTTGTTAGGATGGATTATACCCAACCGTCGCCCCGCTCTGTCCCCGCATGGGGATATATGAGAATGAAAAGTTTCGTCCGTCCAACCTTTTAGTCGCACAATCACCAATAAGGTAACAGATGGAAGAAGTGAAGAAATAAAATAAGTTCCAACCGTCCCCTCGTCACAAAAGGAGGGACGGATGAAACTTTTTATTCTCATTTGTCCCCACTTCGGGACAGAGAGGGGAGATGTTTGGGAATAATCCATTTGATTCTGTAGTCTACACTAGGATCTAGATAAAATTTGACATAGATTTGGAGGATAATATGGAAGAATACATATGCTACTTACTTTAGTTTTTTTTTATTTCTACGCGGACAAAGTCGCGGGCGAAAGCAAGTATCTAATATTGTTATTCTGATTAATATTATTTATTTTTATTGCATTTTATTTTCAGGTCAAAACGCATTATTCCTATATATCGGTAGTGAACTTCTGAAACGCCACTTTCCCCTGCACTGGCATATATCTGCGCCGTCGCACTCGCAGCTGCTGGCGACGCACGCCGCCGCCATGTTGATGTGGCTGGCGGTGGGCGTCGCTTTGTACAAGAAACGCATCTTTATTGCATTGTAATAAGGTATGTATTTGAATAACTGTTTCACAGTAAGGAATGTCAACCTTAATACGTTGGGTTAAAGTCGTTATTGTAACAGATTTTTTTAAACATACTAGTGGGATTTAAAAATTTGCTGCCTTTCAAATAAACGCGGTGTAAAGTTTGAGCAAAATTTGTACTAATATTTGCTTATACTCAGTTTCTTCCTAAATATAACTTTATACAGCGTTTTTTGTAAGGCTGTTTGAGTTGAATTCGTTGGTCTGTTTCAACTAAATTCAGCAATTATTAACGATTTTTATAACTATGGGAATTTAAAACTTAAGGCATTTTATTAAAGTCGTTATTACTCTAATGCATCATTTTTGGATTAAATAGCAGTAATGTGGAATTTTAAACCTTAATGGTTTGTATTTAAAGCTCTTTTCTCTTGTAATTTTTTAAGCAGTAATATGGTAATATCAACCTTAAATCATTGGAGTAAAGACCTTTTTGATCTTTACTTAAAGCAATAAATTTACAACAATTTAATATTTTATAGAAACATGGGATTATGTACCTTATCCCATTGTGTTAGCGTTTTTTGATCTTTTATAACAATAATATGGAATAATATACCTTATTGTAAGGCTTTAAAGTCTATACTGCATTAAATTATTAGAATATGGGAATTTATACTTTATCTATATGCAATAAGGTCGTTAATGTTTTGGGTGGAAAATATATTTTTCTATTTTTTAAATAATTGCTAGAACTTTCCTTTGAATAAAAATTGTGTTAGAAATAAAATATTTTTATTTAGTATTGTTAGTTGATCTGTATAATTTAAAAATAATGAACTAGAATGTTCTTTTTTTTGTAATCGTATTTATGCAGAGGTATTCAACAGTTAATTTTTTTTTTAATTATTTTCTGGCCAGTTTGAAATTAATAACAAAATTATTTTATACTGTAATTTAAAAGTTTATTTTTTAATGATTAATAATTGGAATATGTTATTTTTAAAATATGTATTAATTGAAGCAAATTGGACGTGAAGATTTACAAATTTTTTACCATTTTTATGATAGCTATGTAACAAATAACCAGTAACAATGTATAATTCAGATATTATAAGAATTTAGTTGGGATTTATAAAATATATAAACAAATACTATTAATTATTTTGTAATAAATAGGTTACAACCATTTTATTTTAATTTGAAACCAGCTTATATAATACATATAAAAATAAATAAATAAAGTTATATTATTGTTTTATTTACCAATTTCTAATTATTATCATAATCATACTAATATTATAAATGCGAAAGTTTAGATGTTTGTTAAAGTTTGTGGTCGGTTAAACGGATTTCGATTAAATTTGATATACGATGTAGAGGATAATCCGGAAGAACACAGGCTACTCACGATTATTTTTATATTCAACGCGGACGGATTCGGGGGCGAAAGCTAGTTATAATATGTTTAATGTTATGAGAACTATTTTAAGGTTAAAATAACGATTAGAAAATGACATTAAAATAATCAATTGGCATTTTAAATAACAGAATTTATTGTTTTCATGAGTTTTGCCCGCGACTTCGCGCAGTATTAAAAAACTTAGTAACGTCTGTAATTTCATTAATATTGGTTAGAGTATTTTGAAGTTATCTGTTAACGAATATCTATACATGTAAACTTTTATATTTATAATATGATTATTTGATTTTAAAAATGTTTACAACACATGCCTTTGTGGAGTAGATTATTAGTGTATAAAAACTAAAATTTTCTAAACATTGTTGCAGTTATTTGAATTGTTTAAGCTATGATTACCAGAAGCCTTATAACTTTTTTATTTTTAATAATACTTTATAGTGTTTGTGCTAATGGTAAGCATTTGGTCAAAGTATTTGAATCTGTGTTCAATTTACAGTAGCTTTTATATCTAATTATATTTTATGAGCTGTTGCCCGCGACTTTGTCCGCGTGGTATTAGAAAACTTACGAACTATATAAATAACAAAAAGCTACGTATCCCTCGGGAACCGGACATTTCTCGGGGATGAACCTCATCCCATGTGTACTCCAGACTTTGTTTTATATCTGTGCCAAATTTCAAAAGGATATGTTGAACTGTTAAAAAACTAAATTAATGAATCCCACAGAAACCGTAACTATTACCGGGATAAAAAGTAGCATATGTGTTCTTCCAGACTATGCTCTAAACCTGCGCCAAATTTCATGGAGATCCGTTCAGCTGTTTAAGCTAAAACGCTAACAAACATCCATCCATCCATCCATCCATCTAAACTTTCGCATTTATAATATTAGTAAGAAGTAAGATTACAATATTAAAGTTGTGTTTTATAGACTCTTGCTCGCGACATCGTCTGCGTGAAATTTTTTAAAAAAATAAGAACATATGTTACTCACTGATAACATAGCTTTCTAATGGTGTAGGACTTTTTGAAATCGGCCCAGTAGTTTTTGAGCTATTTCAATACATACAAAAATACAAATCTTTCCTCTTTATTTTTTTTTTATTTATTAGACAAAAGCATAAATTTAAAAGTACAATAAGAGACGTTATAAGTGGTACAGAAACCCACAGGATTTATGTGTGACCACTGGTCGCTTAGTTTATAGCATATGTTATTAATAATAATATTGAAATATTTGTGCTACACTTTTTTAAAAACAAATTGTACTTAATACCTTATTATAGTCCATGGGGGTCTCCAGGGCTAATGAATTTTAATGACAAATTATTCTGAGTACGAAGGTTATATCTCAAAGTTGTTGTTTTAATTATTAGCAGCTTATTTAAATACGAGAATAATAAATGGCAGTCCAGTGTCGATCACTGAGGTGCCTTTTATGGCGATATTTAGACCTAAAGGCAAAGGCGAGGTGCCCTACTTCTGCGGAGCGGTTATAGTCCACGAAAAATTCCTCATTTCCGCAGCGCACTGTTATTTGTAAGTAAATTTAAATGAAGTTCAAAACATAACTAATTATTTTCTTTACTTAGTAAATTCTTAAAGAATCCATCTAAACATTCGCATTTATAACATTACTAGCCTTCGCCCGCGACTCCGTTCGCGTGGGATTAAACAAAAAACAAAAGTAAGTAGCTTATGTGTTCATCCAGATTATCCTCTGCGTCTATGCCAAATTTCTTAGAAAACCTTTTAGCCGTTTAGGGTACAAACTCTAACAAACATCCATTCATCCATCTAAACTTTCACATTTGTAATATTAGTTAGATAAGATAGTGAGATTATTGCTATCTCTGTCGTTTTAAAAACCAATGCAAGGGATGGCATTATTCAAGTTTTAAATACTTAAACAGTAACAATATTTCAACCTACAGAAAAGTGATTCCGCAATATCGAGTAACCGTGGGCACTGATCACGCTTTAGAAGGTGGAATAGACTACGACATAGAAGAGATTTTTGTCCATCCTAAATACAATGGGGATAATAAGGATTACGATGTATTAGTTATTAAATTAAAAGATAACCTCACTTTTAATGATCGAGTCCAGAAAATTGAAATAGCTTCGCAAGATTTGGAGATTGATGATAATGCGATGTTGGATACGATGGGATTTGGTTGGACGAATCCGGTAATAAACTTGATTTTTTTTGTTTAAATGTAAATTAATTATGAACGTATTGAGATTAAGTAAATAATCAATAACGTGATTTAACCATATGTAAAAAAAGAATTAAAAATAATACCTTTTTCTTATAAGAAAATGCTTTCATTAACGACTTTAAATTTTCGTGGTTTAAAAAGAAAACATCTATAGTTTTATTAATTAACCTATCTATTCTGTCTAATGATCAATGGTTTCAGTCGGAAGAGAACTCGTTTTCAAATCAGCTTCTGAGAATTACAATACCATATATAAATCAGAATGATTGCAAGAGAGTCTTTACGAAATTGACATCAACAATGATTTGCGCAGGAGGAACCGATAAAGACAGCTGTAAGGTAGTGTAGCAATAAAATCCAGAAATTTCGTGTTGCTAATTGATCTCTATTCAAAGGGATATCGCAAAGGAATAAGGGCGTCCCTTACAGACCAATTAACGTTCCAATTTCCAATGTACGGTAGTACGTCATATTCACGTATTTTAATAACATTTCAGGGCGACAGTGGTGGACCGCTTACGTATGACAATAAAGTTGTTGGACTTGTATCATATGGACTGAAGCCTTGCGGACAAGTCGGAGTACCAGGGGTTTATACTAAGTTATCAGCCGTACGAGATTTTATTGACGAAACTATAACATCACATTTATAAGAATTTTCAATGAATTAAATTGTGCTAGCATGAGTTGAATTGTTTTTAATATAACCCATAATTCATTACTTGTTCAAATAAATAAAATTATCTCTTAAAAAACGAATCTTACAGTAAAAGTTTCTATTTACAAAACGTTTTATTTTGTTACCCAAATCCAAATCGTAAATGTCATTTTCAATGCAAAGGATTATCAAAACGCCAATAACCTTCGCGTGTCATTGTAATGTCAACAAGACGTTCATTATCAAAGTTATTGATACGACAGTATTCAAGTTTACGTATTCAAGACTCTTGTGTAATTTATTTAAATAAAATGGAGCCGAAAATTAATTTGAAACAAGATCCAGCGTATAAGAAACTGCAGGAGTATTTCAACGCTAACGCTGAAAAAATTAATATTCTGCAACTTTTCCAACAAGACGTCGACAGATTTAAAAAGTTTAGGTATTTGGTAATTTTATATTCATTAAACTTGAATATTTCTGCATTAGTTCGTAGTCTTTTATAACTGAATAATATATATAAATCCATGTTGAAGCTAAATAATAAAACTTACTTTCATTATTATGTTATGACATAAACTTTTTTAAAAGGTCGTCGGTACAAAGCAATGTCACAGGTCGAATGTTCAAACGAAAAGTTACTTTCAAAAATTGAATTACGATAAACAATCCAATATTAATAATAAAAAGAGATGTTTTCTATATATATTTTAGTTGAAAACACAAATCTACTGCTTGAAATAAAAATAATTGTAATAGTTTTGTTTCTTGAAAAGGGTTATTATATTTTTATAAATGGATTAATATTGATATTAAAAATCCCTGAATTACTACTACTATTTCATAATTTACATAACAATAATTGTTACTTGATTATATTTCCTTGTTACAATTTACATGAGTCATTATGATCATATATTTATTAGAATTACATAAGTAAAAGGCCCTATATTAATTGATTTTATTTCTAATGATGCAATATTCTTTATTATGATGTTCATGACAGATAATACAATACTTTAAAAATATCTGAATATATTTCAGCCTTCGTCTACCAACACCAAATGATGGTGAAATCTTGTTAGATTATTCTAAAAACAGATTGGATGCCAAAGCTTTCGAATTACTCCTCAACTTGGCTAAAAGTCGTGGGGTTGAAAAAGCTAGGGATGCTATGTTCTCAGGTAAATTATCAAATGCTAAAATATACTAACGTTCCCCTGCGACTTCATCCGTATAAACTTATGAAAATGTTTTTTCATTGTTTACATGTGTCAAATAATCAATTGCAAATGTTAAAATACCAATTACCTTACTATGGCAATTTTGCTTTCTTGATGTTGGTAGCAACTTATGGTCTCTTTCCCACATTAGGCTTTTTATCCAAAATATTTACATCCTAAGTTTGATGGCGTGAAAATATATAGCCTAAAGTGTGACATAAGTGGCTATTAAAAAAAGAATTATTCAAAAATATGCTGTAATTGCTGACATCTTAGACAACAAAGAAGTGTGTTTACGCTTTATTATAATAGTAAAGAAGTATAGATTAAAATTTCCAGGTGAGAAGATAAACTTCACAGAGGATCGTGCAGTGTTGCACATTGCTTTACGTAACAGACAGAACAAGCCGATCCTGGTTAATGGGGCAGATGTCACACCGGATGTGAATGCGGTCCTCGCTCATATGAAAGAATTCTCACAGCAAGTTATTAGTGGACAATGGAAAGGGTCTGTACTTTTTAACTAGCTTTTTCCATTGACACCGTCCATGAAGAAGTTAAAAAAAATCAAAAGTGACTGCCAATGTGTTCTACTACTTCTATGCCAAATTTCATTCAGATCTCTTCAGCCATTTAGGCTGCAAACTCTAACAAACATCCATCTATCTAAACCTTTCTATATTTATTAGAGTTTGTAGCCTAAACTGCTGAATGAATCCTAATTAAATTTAGCATAGATGTAGAGGATAGTCCAAAAGAACACATAAGCTACTTACCTTTTTTTAACTAGGAATCTAGTTTATTTTATAAAGCCAAAGAATGTGCTCTAAAAATTCTAAAGAATAAAAGTTCATATGCTTATCAAATATATTGTCTACAGATATACAGGCAAGCAGATAACCGATGTGATCAACATTGGTATTGGAGGCTCAGATCTTGGCCCTCTCATGGTCACCGAGGCACTGAAACCTTATGCCAATCATCTTAAGGTATACTTTTAATTGACAAGAATCTATTTTTCTATAATTAAGTTTTAAACAATCAGTTTTAAGGTCCAGAGTAATTAATCCCATGAAATGTGATATAAAGTAGGTTCGGGAACGAAAAATTTAACTCTAAAAGTGTGTTATTGTAAATTTAACCTTACGTTCTGTGTTATAAGGTACATTTTGTCTCCAACATCGATGGTACGCACCTCGCGGAGGTATTAAAACGTCTCAACCCGGAGACGGCGCTGTTCATCATCGCCTCCAAGACTTTCACCACTCAGGAGACCATCACCAACGCGACTTCAGCCAAGAACTGGTTCCTGCAGGCTGCTAAAGATGTGAGTTATACTGTTGGCACGTTAATAACAAGAGTTTTCATATATTTGACGTGCCAACTAAAGTACAAGGAAAGAAACTAAAAAGGAATTTAGTAGATATTTGAAGTTAAAAATCTTTATGTTTTGAATTTATCATTTTATTCTGATGTTTTTTAATATATAAGTATTGAAATGTGTGAAACAAATTAATAAGTATATCAGAGGCAGTTTTTGGTTTAAAGATTTTTTTCAGGACAAAAAGAAACTTGAATTTATGTACCTGGGTTTTATTATAAAAAAAAAAGATATTTTAAATGATGGCAAACATGTTTTAAAAATAAACTAAATTGTTGTATTTCCAGTCATCAGCGGTAGCAAAGCATTTCGTAGCGCTGTCCACTAACGGGGAGAAAGTGACCGCCTTTGGTATCGACTCCAAGAACATGTTTGGTTTCTGGGACTGGGTCGGTGGAAGGTAAATATTTATTATTTAATAATATACTTTAACTCACACTTTATGAAATAACTTTAAAATGTTTTGAATATCCTCTAATCCAAAACTGAACATTTGTTTTGCGATTTTGG